TTGACTCTTTTACAGGCAAAATAACGCCAAAATTGCCTATTTCTCCACAACTGCTCTTATTACAAACTAATTTCATAGATTGTCTTCGTATAGATAGATGCTACAAGGTTATGAACATTACATAGAAATATTTAAAAATATGAAAAGCCTGAATGGGTTAAATTGCTTAAATTTATGCCCTTTTTCACCTTTAAGTCGAAATGGCGCAAACACAAAACCCAAATTAACAAAATTGAGTTTAACATTTTTTGCGCTTGTCATAGGGTTATTCTGCTTGATCTATCAGATTTTTACCCGTCGTCATTAGCCCCGTTTGGAGCAGAACAGTAGGACGTTCAACCCCATTTCATTTCATTTCATCAGATTTGTAAAAATTAATATTTGCTTCCGAAAAGACGGGTCAAAATTGTAAATTCTGGCAAAATTACGTCACTTCCGGTGTCAACAGAAAACGTTATCGGTAACAAAAAAGTTGAGAATTTGCATCATGAAACATATGAAATTTGTTTTATATATATCAGGCAATAAATAATTAACCTAGAATCCATAAACTGAAATTAAAAGAATGAAAAATCTTAAAAAGTGATCCTGAGAAAATTGGTTATTATTTCGACAAGGGAAGATGCTAGAAACAATTTTTTGACATCTCTATGATCGTATTGATCCAATCTTTATATCCACTGGAATCAAATATCATACTATTAAACAAATACTAATTATAACTCACTTCAAAATAATAGTTGTTTTTGCAAAAATGACATTACTTCCGGTGAGAATGAAAATGTTAAAATAGTTCTATGAAAACAGAAATGGCATAAGGCATCACATGGTGAAAATTTAATGAAAATCGGAGAATAATTGACACCTTTATGGACCAAAAACCATGAAAAGGCACACGGTGTTGACTTTATCATAAATGAATACATCAAATATACCGAAACTTCTTTTATTAGTGTGTATGTTAATTATTTAATTTGATATTAGAAACAGGAATTATACCAACTGAATGGGTAACAGGGATTATTAGCCCAATTTACAAAAATAAGGGAGATAAGCAAGATGTGAATAATTATAGGGGAATAACATTACTAAGCTGTCTGGGCAAATTATTTTTATCAGTAATAAATGAGAGATTGTCAAACTTTGTTGAATCATATCGCATAGTTGGTCCAGAGCAAGCAGGCTTTCGAAAAGAATTTTCCACTACTGATCACATATTCACCCTTAAACACATAGTTGATATATACTTGCTTAAGAAACGCAGGCTTTATGCAATTTACTTTGATTATCGGCGCGCTTTTGATATGGTTCCTAGATTACATCTATGGAATAAAGTTCTAGACTGTAAAATCAATGGTAAACTATTTATTTTGATTTATAATATGTATAAATATGCTAAATCTAGTGTTAGGATAAATAACAAATTGTCTGAAACTTTTAAGTGTATGATAGGTGTTCGTCAAGGTGAAAATTTATCCCCTCTTCTATTTTCGATATAGCTCCAAGATTTAGAATCATCTCTGTCCAAAAACTATACTGGATTAAGTCTCTTAAAACAAGAAATAATTGATAATTTACACGATCTTAACGACTTTGATGTATTTGTAGATTTGTTTGTACTTCTTTATGCAGACGACACCATAATTCTTGCTGAGTCTGAGGAGGAGCTTCAAGATGCTACGAATGCCGTGTACGATTATTGTTCCAAGTGGAATCTTGAAGTTAATCCTTCTAAGACAAAGGTTATGGTGTTTTCAAGAGGTAAAATAAGAAAAAGGCCCATCATTAAATATGGTAATTCGATATTAGATGTTGTTGATGATTATGATTACCTTGGTATTAAATTGAATTATAACGGAAAGTTCGGCAAAGCCACTTCATGCAAAAGCTAGTAGCGCCATGTTTTCACTGTTGAAGAAAGCAAATAAATTACACTTAGATATTGATACTCAACTCCAACTATTTGATAAATTAATAACGCCAATATTATTGTATGGAAGCGAGGTGTGGGGTAATGGGGATATAACTTTATTACAGAGATTACAACTAAAATTTTGTAAAATATTATTAGGCGTAAAAAACTCTACCCCTAATGTAATGGTATATGGCAAACTTGGGGTCTTTCCGATCGATATATTCATAAAATGTAAAATGGTTTTATACTGGCATAAAATTATCAATGGAACCCCTAACAAGTTTACATATAGCATTATGTTATTTATTAGTACTGTATATAATAATTTTGGTTGGATTATTAACGTTAAATCGATCCTAGATAATGCTGGTCTTTCTTATATATGGCACCAACAGGGTCAAAATGTTAGTCGCAAATGGTTGAAGGAAACGTTATTAGAAAAGCTAAAAGATGAGTTTGTGCAGAACTGGAATACAAAAATATCAGAAAGCAGTAAATGTAACAATTATAGAATTTTTAAGAAACAATTTGAATTAGAAGACTACATGTTAAATCTGCCCCCAAAATATCGTAAGTGTCTTTCGAAATTGCGATGTACAAGTCATAGATTGCCTATTGAGACTTTATCATATACCAATATACCAAGACAGGAAAGGAAATGTCATCTATGTAGACTAAATATAGGAGACGAATTCCACTATTTGTTAGAGTGTCCATTTTTTTGCAGAATCCAGGTCTCAATATGTAAAGAGATATTATTTCCAATTTCCATCCACACGTAAAATGGATGAGTTATTGCATGTTAAGGATAACGAATTATTAAAATGATGTAAATTCTTTGAAAATATATTGTCATTTTTCTCGGTCCCACAAATGTAAATACTGTTAAGAAATAGACTGATGTTTAATAAAATGTATATATAAGATACTATTAATTAATGTTAAATTTAAATCGTTTATAGTTTGACGTGAAATGAATTGTGAATATAATGAAAATGTAAAATGAAGTATAATGAATTCTTGTAACCTGGTGGTTTTCGTGAATAAAGATTATTATTATTATTATTAGAAAATCGACTATTTCTCTGCAACCGTACAAGTAAGAAACGAGTTTGTGGTATGATCATATTGGTTTATTCTATTTGTTGATTTGAATCAAATATCATAATTTTAAAAGCATTACAAATAAGAATCATTTGAATAAAATATCTCTTTTTAAGCCTAAAATGTCATTTCCGGTGACTGTGAAAATGTTAAAGGAGCTAAATCGCTAACATTTGGGACCTAGAAATTGAACCAAATGGGTCGCAACGCATATAATAATGTAATCTGATTGTATATGAACTGATTTACATTCAACTGTTTCCGTTTTGTCTCTTAATTTCATATCAGTTATGTCCAGCGAAATACGGCATGAGTCTCAACCGAATAGAAATTTCTAGCGTCTGGTTATTCCAGTCTATTGCACATGCTCCCCAGATAAGTTATGGCGTCGTGGTTTGACATGAGTTGTGGAATATGTCTAGCCTCGTTTTTTCTGGTCACTTGTTACAAATGACGCTGAAGCGCACTATGGTACACAATTCATGTACCAATGGTAAAATGTTTATTTTATCTTAAATATTGGATATCAGAAACCCACCTTTTCCCGGTAAGATAACAACATCAATGTTGATTTGAATTGACAAATAATTCGTGTTTTCAAAGTGTAAGACTTTGGGTGATATTGAGTTAGAGACTTAGCTACTTTAAATTGGTTTGACCTAGTCGAAATTGGCATAAGGCATCAAATGGTAAAAATAATTTGAAAATCGAATAATAATTGACTCCTTACAGGCAAAATAACGTGAAAAGTGACGCACGCAAAATTGCCTATTTCTCGGCAGCTGCTCATATCACAAACTAATTTTCACATACATTCTCTTCGTATTGATTATTGCTACAAGTTTATGAAAGTTATGAAGAAATATTCTAAAATATGAAGATGCTGAATCAGTTGTAAATATCTTAATTTTACATCATACAGATCGGATAATAACTTTTGTCGTTAGAGCATTTACAAGGTACAGCAAAGTGAAACAAGGGCCAAAACTCACGCGTAATTAACGGAAATTGCTGAAATTCGATAGGCTTCTTCATTTCACTAATTTAAATGATACATATCAATTTCATACAGATCGATTGATAACTTTTGTCATTAGAGCGTTCACAAGATTCAACAAAGTGAAACAAGGGCCATAACTCTAGATGTATTAAAGGGAAATTGCTGAAATTCAATAGGCTTCTTTGTTTTACAAAATTTATCTTCTAATAGTTTGGTAGCTTATAGTTTGTTATCAAGAACAAAAAATCACAAATAGTGATCTTTACTATTGCTGTGTAGAGAAAATTTCCAGAAAGCCTAGAATACAATTTTCTTACAATTCTCTTGAGATATTGCTGAATAACATCTAGTTTTAATTAATTAGATTGATGTAGCAAAACAAAAATAAGGTTTTCTCTCCATATTCTTGTTTGTAATATTGTACTTGCATGGTCACACTAAAGAAAATTCTTCATTGTCATTTACCTCTCCAGGTGATCACATTTACTGAATGAACAAGTAAGCCCAAGTGGACTTCCCTATCAAAAGATCATTTTTAACCAGAGTTGTCTCTCTTACATCAGGTGGTCACGGTGACTAGGTGGGTAAGACGCTGGCGCGCTAGTCTGGAGGTCGGGTGTTCGATCCCTGCATTGGCGGAGAAAGTTCATCCAGATTTTCCATGTGGTTCCCCCTTGTCAGTGATGCAGGTCGGAGGGCCTGACAAGGACAGCTGTCTAGTTGTTCGGATAGTACGACAAACCGAGGTCCCGTGTACACATTGGCATGCACATTAAAGATTCCCTGAAGTTGGAATTCGATATAAGACTAGGCCGCAGTGCCGCTGTCCAGGCAAAATTTTCCTCATAGCACACTGTATGGCGTATGCCCATCTTCATTAGCCCAGTTCAGAGCAGAACAGTAGGACGTTAAACCCCATTTCATTTCGTTTCTCTCTTACATCACATCATTTTCAATGTACAATTTCTCTAAAGACAAATAGGCAATCTATACTTATATTATAGTAGTAATAATATATCATAAAATACAATTATAATCTACATGCTTAATAAATAATAAAATATAAACAACAGTAAATCTCCTCAGTGTTAATATATTTAGGCATAAGGCTTAATACCACGAATGTATTAGCTGGCTCTTTTAGAGGCTACAAGATAAGCTTATATAAGAGTTACTGGTACCTTAAAACAATCACGATATCAGTCATATACCATGCATTGACAAGGTGAAAAAAAGAAAAATATAGATTAACAATAACCATGTCACGTTAGGGCTGTACAATATTCTCGATATAGTCATTTATCGTGATATGGTATTTTCAGACCCAACTACGATATCATGTCCAAAAATCATCGATATAGTGGTTTATCGAATATCGCCAAAAACTTCAAATATCGAAAAAAATTATCATAAAAATAGATAATAAATACACTATACAGCAGTGGAAATTAGCCGACGGCAAATAACTATAATAAAACTAATGTTTTGAGAATCATTAAATGTTGAAAACACTTGCGCAGTGTCCGCAGCCGTTTTTCACTGCATCGTGTATGCGTTACTTTTACTTTGTTTTTAGTCCACAATAAATTGTCAGTTGTTACTACATGTAAAGCTTATGCCTACTAAACGCCTGAAATTTCCCACTACCGCGGCTAATTACCAGGCTATAAATAGGTTGTCATATTTTTAAAAAAACAAATATTTTTAGAAAACTCTACAAAACTTAATTTCTGAAAGCAAGAATAAAACGATCTATAAATAGATTACTGTCACTGTTAGGCCACAAATACCGCAGCCAATCGAATACTTGAATGGAAGATAGTCCAGATCATTTAGTATTTGTTAAACTGTTTGAACTTACAATACAAGACTTGAAATTGCACCTACGTACTTCCGCTGCAGGTGATATTTGAGAATTTTCTTATACAAGGTCACAAGCAGACGCTTTTTAAACATCAGCGGTTGTATTTAATTTTTATCCAAAAAGGATGTTGTTTTGTTCATTTTAATAAATCTATATTATAAAAAAAGCAAAGTTTAAAGTGTATGAATAAAGCAATTCTTACCCACAAGTCTTACTCACACTGTAGTCAGCTTTAATGCATTTATATTTAATTTATTTAATAGCAGAGTGACATTATTATTAAATATCGCGATATTTAACTATATCGTTGAAAAAAATGCCAATATCGATATCGTCCCTTTTTGCAATATCGTACAGCCCAACATGTATATATAAAATTAACCACATCCTTGATCACTCAAATAAAATATCCTCATTGTGGTCAAACAACATTGACCTTTATCTCACTTGATCTTTAAATGAATTTCTTGTTTCAAAATCTTGTCAACTGCATTACACAATGAGTTCAATAGCAAATGATTTTGTCTAAGAATTTAACAAGGTCTCCGTTATATAGAATAATATCAGTCTTAACCAGGGCTTCTATTTCAAAACTTTCCCCTTTACAAAAACATTAACGAAAAATAGGTACACCTAATCGATATTTTTCATATTTAAAACATGTACCAGCTTCAAGTTCATGTCACAGACCTCTATTTCATATTACACTTCCTGACTAGAGTACCATTTTCAATCCCAGAGTTACACAGAATAGTCACACTATCTAATGATTTTTATTTTTAGAAGATCGTTGTTTCTGAGATCGTCTTCTAGGTAAGAGCTCTTTATGTTGATCTTGAAACTGACGTAATTTGTCTGGAGTAACAACAGGATCTTTCAAAAACATTTCTATTTCATTCAAGTCATGTTCCTTTGCCTAAAAGCATATAGAGAAAATAAATTGAGACAAAATTCTCCAACCATTTCTTCTTCTTTTCTCTTTTCATATTGTACATAATAGGGTTCAAGGTCATTTCTTTTAAAAAGTCTGGTTTAAAATTTGTGGGGATACAGTACTTAAAAGACCACTCTAACTTTAGGATGGCAATCGGGGGATTATTAAAATGTCACACTTTTTGGGACAAAATAATGACATTTTCTGCTAAGGTTTAGCAGAGTTAATGACAAACTTCAATCATGAGTACATTCTGCTTAGTCAAAGTTTGATAGCTTGATGCTTTACAAAAAGATAAAAGGGAAATTAATTGACATGTCATCTATCTATGTTGGGACTGAGGTGGGGAGGTGGGGGACATCAGTCTCATGGTTGGCTATTTTGTTTTAGAACACCACCAGATTATGGGGCAATTGTTTGGTGTGATTTAATTGTAATTATCAAGTTGTCAAAATGTTCACACAAAAACCGACTCAAACTAACCTTGAGTGTTCTATGGAGTGATTTAAGTTTGCGGAGCTTATCTAATTCTGCTGATGGTGCAGCTGTTAATAAATCTGAAGATTGTATTTGACTTCGACGGGTTTTATTACGATCAACACCATCTATAGTTAGTTCAGATTTCCGTATATTTCTAATCATCACTGCTAAATCATCCCTTCCTTCATCAGCTGATGATAAAAGGTAAAATATACAAAAACATGTATGTCTACACTCTAAAGGTCAGCATATACAAAAATGATTATTTTGATGGCGATTTTATAGGTGTGTGGCAATTGTACAGTCAGACAGATCATCAGCATCAATCATATAAATTAATAATTAAGTTAAACATTGCTATGCACACATGTTTGTTGTCAATTTCTGTTGGACAGCAAAGTTGACACAGCACAACGATTTTTTGTCTGTGATGAAATATTGCCAAGAAACAATCACAGTTAGTACTAGCCTTTAATGTATATATCTGTATAGCAGATAATAGACAGCAAGTGGTTTAAAAATGACATGTTCATATTTTTAACATTTTGTCAAAAAGTTATAAAGAAATATATAAATAGAAACCTGCTTTGACCATTTACTAATTATAGTCTATTTGTGCTTCTACCCGTAGTCTTTATACAGTACTATTTACAGATTAAAAACCTATATTTTACCTTTATTAATAGAATATTTCTCAGGTGAGTTTTGTACAGAGGATGGTGTTAAGGTAGCTATACTATCTTTTGATGTGGCACTAGCTAAAGATAAACAACTACCAGAGACAGTAGATGATGTACCAAGTTCATTATCATCATCATCTTCACTCTCACTATAATACACATCTAAATAAATAAAAACAGTTTAAATAATAAACCCATAGCCACAGTTTTATAAGAACAGAAACTTAGTCTATCCAATTTTCTTGGTACATAACATGGTTTAAGTATTTTAATCAATATTTTAGTCAGGAACCAAAGTACTCCCACATAATCAGAAGAATAAATGCAGATAGGAAATACTCCATCAAATCTTGGTTCCTTTCCCACATGCAGATGAAGATAAGTGTGGTTTAGCCACACAACAAATCACCAGCTAAGGAATATTTAAATTATTTAAGCATGGTCAATCTGTAAACCATACAAGTTTCAAAAGGACAGCCATACTACCAGAAATATCAATATCACACGCAAAGGAATAATCTGACAGGAATGAACATCCATATTAACCAGCTAAGAATGAAGATAATTAAAAAAATTCTGATTAATTAATCTGATGCATAAAAATATTAGAAAGATAAGATGATAAAGTTACAATAAAAGAAAAACAACTTACTTTGAACACCATAACCTTGTGCCTTAACTGTTGGTTCTGGTTTTATAAATCCACCAGTTGTCATTATATTACTTGTGTCATAATTAATAGCTGCTAAACCCATTTTATTCATCCATCTTAAATAAACAATTGGTGGCATAATGATATCTGACAAACACAAAACTTAGAAATAAACAAAAGAAGAAGAAAGACCTATATAAGCTTCAACTTTTGCTGCCTGCATGTATGCGGTAATCAGGTAATTTCTGAGGCTATGAATAATGAAAAATTCCTTCAATGGGCATCCTCGCTAGAGATAATGGGGCATAATTTATAGGTGACATCATAGAGGAGGCAGTCCCATGTGACCTCATTGTTTACCTTACAGCATTGTTTTCCTGTACATTTATTACGAACTGGTGTGTTGACAAACGTTAGTTTTTGTCGTTAATATGGAATTTAATTCCGATACGGTTCTTTTACCATGGGTAAGGTCACATGGAACTGAGGTTTTACTAGTGACGCCTGATGGGAATTCCTTCAGCGAGGACGTCCATTGTTTCAATGGTATTCAGTAATTGAACCGAAAATATATAGGTCACAATTCTATGGAATACAATTACTTAGCTTGATAAGGACTAGTAAAGCCTAGTCGAAACCTCGCTCAGTAATAAGCAGTAAGCATAGGCGTACTGGGGTCAAAATAATTTCGGGTTACACAGCTTACCTTGTAGGGACCCCCCCTCCCTTGGGGCATTTGACGGCTGCAAACATGTTTTTCTGCTATTCCAGCCCAAGAATACAGCAACTTTAAAGTCATCTAATAGCCTAACTTAGGTGGCTGACTGCCGCAAACTGTTTATATTGCTATTCCAGCCTGTGAATACAGCAACTTTAATGTGGTCCATAAGCCTACCTTAGGTGGGTGACCTGAATGCCAAACAAATAATCAATCGTCTCTGGGTATGGGGGGCCCCCCCCTCCCCGCAAATTTTTTTGAAAATTTAACCGCAGCAAATACGTTTTTCTGCTATTCTGGCCCTTGATTTAAAGATCTTCAAAGTTGTCCCAACGTTTTGCAATCGAAATCCCACTCTAGTCTATGGCGACCTAAATTCCAATTATCCAATCAGACTGTTGCATCTGCATTCACAAATAATAATCGATGTGAGAAAAATGTTGCACAAAGTAAAGTGGCTCCAGACAAAATGTTTTAATCCATAGTCAATTCAGTGCAAATTTGTGGAATTCAATTAAAAGAAAAGTAAAATTTGTGTTTTATTAGATTTCTGGGACTTTATTTTGCCAACTAAATGAAATAATAATTTTTGTTTTAGCTTTACCTGTCTGCCCGAAAAGTCAGGTTGCCTGAAGGTTAGGGAGGCAGCACCCCCCCCCCCCCACTTGCCCCCCCCCACTCGTACGCATATTAATTAATTGCCCATTTATCTTTATTGAAAAACATTGAGCAAACGAACTGCTTATCTATACTTAGTCAAGGTGCTGATGAAGTGAAACTTATACACAAATTTAGTTCACTCTATCTCAATTAGAATCATAGTTACTGTTCCCCAAAGCATCGACCAATCAAATTGCTTATCTTTGCTTATCCTAAGCATAAAGTGTCCCATCAAATTTAGTCAAGGCATTACACCAAGTTTGAACATTTCTAGCTCAATTAGAAGCAGAGTTATTGTGTCCCAATATTTGTTTCCACTTACATAAAGCAAACATGATAGAAACTTACTTGCTCATATCTTCTTGACGTTCAGAGGCAAAATAAAATGTTGTCCCAGCATTATGAACTTTAAAAGCACTGAAAATATACATCAAACTTACATCACTGCACATATAAGTTACAAAAGTTACAGTTTGATGAAAGTAGAATATGAAATATACTTCACACGCCATATTTAAAATTTTGTTTTCTTTGGACAGAAATACATGCGTATTTAATTTCAACATGTCAAAATTTTGGTAAATCATACAACAAAGGATAATTATGAATAAAATTATCATACGCTTTTAGGTTTTGTTTCCTTGTAATTTTAATATAACAAGCTGCAAAGATTACAACTTGAAATAGGGATAATATTGGGGATAAATTATACATGTATCAAAATATTAAAAGAAATATTTCAAATTGTGTAAGAGGATCTGTCTTGAAGACATATATATTACAAACGATAGGATTACAAATTACAACAACTTGACGTACATGTTCTTTCTGGTAGAGTATATTACATAGTATTTTAACCATGTCAAACTATCACCAACATGCTAATAATAAAAGCTCGTAGAAAAATAACAACTAAAATAACATTAAACAATCTGAATATATCACCTCAAAATAGATAGTTTTATGACCAGATCATAAAAATTTTATCCTCATATTCAAATAATATCAATGGATGTGACAGTGTGTAACTTTTTCGATCAGCATATCTTGAAAAATTCTTGAAAATCCCCCAATAATTTATAACAGTTTTATTAAAATTATGGTGTTGGAAGTACCAAATATATAAAATGTGGTGATATATTTAGGTTGTCATTGGTCAAAATAAGTTTATTGAATTGATAAATTTCTTATGTAATGTGTAATACAATAAACTTATTATTAGTTAGCGAAGGTAATAATAGTCTTAACTTTTCCTTTCTTTAAAATCAACAAAATAGAAGAGTGCACATTTACTTAAAATGTTTGCAAAATATAAGAAACACCTAGACTCACCCATGTTCACTAAAACAGCATAAGAATGATAAAAGAAAAATAGTTGATGAAAATAGTTTGAAATACATTCTATTTTAAGTTTTATTTCATGAATTTACTATCTTCAGTAGCTAACAAAAAATTTTATATGACAAAATTCACATTTTCTTGTTTCCAATATATGGACTGGATTCAAGATCAAGTCAACACATCAAGACATTTTGGGGTGAACACTGGTAATTCTTTATTTCAGTAATTAGTATGCACTTGGGGACATCACAACAGGAAGCAGTGAATAAATTGCCTCTTAACCAGCATTTCGAAGAGCAAGCTTTATACAGGAACCCATTTAGGGACAATATCAAATATTTTTACAATTTGATATTAAAGAGGCATTATCAATTACTAATATCCATTACAGAAAAAAATCTAGCACTCGCATATAGCTACTTAAGAGTAAAATACTGAACAGAGGTCCAAAGGGTAAATTATTAGGTCAATTTCTTTTCAGTCTGTACATGTAAAGAAATATGGATTGTCATTCCACTTTTACTCTTCATTGAAACCTGCATTAAACATGGATTTTAATTATACTTATATAATATTAAAAATTGGATTGCAGATATTAGATGGAAAATTGAACGATGGAAAAAACAAATATCTTATTATTGGCTCGAAAACTCAATTACCAAAAGTTAATAACAACAGTTCAATTTCAATAGGCAGTTGCCTAATATCACCATCAAAATCAGCACGTAATATCAACGCAATGTTTGGTATGGAAGTCTGGAGCCACAGTGGCTCAGTGAGTAAGAAGTTGGCTTGGTAAACTGGAGGTCTTGTGTTTGATCCCTGCGTTGGTCGAGAATGTTCATCGTAATTTTCCGAGCATTGATCCTCCTTGTCAGTTGTGCAGGGCCGAGGGCCTGGCAAGGGACAGCATATAGTTGTTCAGATGGGAAGAAAAACCGAGGTTCCGTGTATACATATATTAATTTTGATATGGAAGCCCATGTCAATAACCTTTGTAAAAGTTGATATTATCATATGGGGCCAATATTGATAAAATCAGAAGGTTCATCTCTCCAGATGCAACTAGATCTTTAGTCAGTTCATTTATAACTTCAAGGCTCAATAACTGTAATTCCCTACTCACAGGACTTCCACTTAAACTCATAGATAAATTTCAAAGGTCCAAGTCCTTCTACCAATACATCATTAATAATGCAGTGTTCATATAATTTATCATCATATTTTTAATGGTCATTCTATTTACAAGCACCTATATATGGATAACTTATCAATTCAAATTCGTAATGTCGCCACTATTGCTACTTTTAAATCTAAACTAGAGACTTTTTAATTTGAAAAGACTTTTACCAAATGATCCTTCTAATAGGTTGATTATCTGAACAACAATTTTTTTTTTTTATCAAATAGACTCTTTCTAATCATGTTTTATTATATCAATGTGATACTCTTGCTCCCAAGAAGTATGCAATAATAATAATAATAATAATGGCAGTCGGTCATCCGAAAAATCACTATTTGAGTTAGTTAATAGACATTATTGTTGAAACAGGTCTGATATATTCTAAACTGAGCAATATAAGTTTATTTTAGGCCATACCAAGTAATATTCTGGTTCTCAGACAATCCTTCCTAAAAATCTAATGCATGAGGGAGGTTTTTGCTTTTTTTATTTTGCCAAAGGATCACTACTGGGCTTAATGACTTCTTATGAACATCACATTTCAACACAGTACATTTACCTCATTACATTGTTGAATGTATAGTATCATTTATTATTGTCAATAATAATTTCCTCGGATGCATGTTTGATAATTATGTCTACAGTTCATTTTCTGATTCATTCAAATTTGTTTATAGAGTTACTTCCTGTAATCTGGGGAAAACATTTAGGTGCGGTAATTAATGATACTGTTTTCATATTTTGAAACAAAAACGAACTCATGCAATTCTTTTAAAGTTATGCGGAAATATCTGAGAACCAGAATGTTTTTTTTTTCAATTTGGCCTTTGTGTTATTGTATTGTAAAATTTATTTTCAAGAAGCTACACACAAGATATGTTTAATTAGGGTTTCACACTGCGTAGCTTGTGTGAAACACTATTGTTTTTGTTAAGATTATTAGGGTTTCACACTGCGTAGCTTGTGTGAAACACTATTGTTTTTGTTAAAATTGTTCTTATTAGGGTTTCACACTGCGTAGCTTGTGTGAAACCCTCACCGTTTTGCTGGAATAATATTAAATCTTGTTTATGTGAGATCCAGTATAACAATTCCAGTTACCATCAAAATAACTACTACTCTTTGCTATTACAAGCCAATCCAAGAGGAAAATTCACGATTGTCCAGTTCTATTTGTAAGCAATCATCTACCATCTTCAAAGTTCATTTTTGATGTAATATTTATTTTCAAAATTCATTTTTGAGGTAATATGCATTTTCAAAATTCATTTTTGAGGTTATTTTCAAGTTCATTGACTTTGAAAACCTAATAAAGGACATTATTACAAGCTATACAAAACCGAAAATATGACGATTATCTGAAAAATCGTTCATTTTAGTGAAATTCTGGTCGTGATTTTCGATTTTCAACCATCTTGGATTTTGGAAACTTTTCTTCTGAGGTATTTAAGTTCAGTGACACAGAAAACCTTTAAAATCGCATATCACTAGCCATATCAATTTTAAAAAAGACGATTATCTGAAAAATTGACCACTTTAGGGAAATTCTGGCCGCCATTTTGAATTTCCGCCATCTTGGATTTTGGAAACCCTTTAAATTACATATTATAAACCATATCAAAGAGTGAAATGACTTTTATCTGACAAATTGGCTATTTTAGGTAAATTTTGGCTGCCATTTTGAATTTCCAACATCTTGGATTTGGGGAAACTAGTATTAGAGATTATTTTTCAGTTCAATTACTACAAAAACCTTATATATGATATATTACAAGCCATACCTTGCGTGATAATCACCCATACCATCTGGAAACTATTTTTTCATCCAATTTTGGCGGCCATTTTGGAAATCAGACAAACCCCAACCAAAAATGACGTCATAGAAGTGAAATAATCTCAAAATCGTTTTCAGTGACAAATTTTGCCTCAGAACAACCCGACCCCAAATTTTGTTCCGATTGTGACATCCCTGCTATCATGAGTAAAATTGAGTACTACGCATGGGAATTCACGTTATTTATTAAGAATGTGCAAAATACTCTGAATCTGTGACAACTTCTGAAAGTGATAATAATTACATCATTTACATGGACCTATATCATCGATATATTGTTGTGGTGAATATATACTATTCAAAAAAAGTAGGGGATATTTGATTTTTAAGTGTTATTAAAGTCACCTAATGAAACTGACGAAGAAACAAATGACAAAATGAAATGAAGTTCACATTCATCGATTTATTCCAAATGATCGTTAGACTAAGTAAGGCACAGACTGACCATTATAAGGGTAAAATGATACCCGGGGTCAAACAGCAAAGTTACCACAGCATCACAACCAAGTCAGTAACGGGTAAATCCTCCTCTGTTTGCCAAACAAGCAGTGATCCGACGTGGCATACTCCTAATGAGACGTCTATGGTCATTTTGGTCCAGATTGTCCCATTCCTGTTGCAACGCAGCAGCAAGTTCTTGGACATTGGCAGGACGTTGTTGACGTTGACGTAACCTCTGTCCAAGCATGTCCCAGACATGCTCGATGGGGGAGAGGTCGGGACTCAGTGCTGGCCAAGGTAATGTGGTGATGTTCTGTTGTTGGAGGTAACCTGTAACGATCCTGGCCCTGTGACATCTTGCGTTGTCACCTGGAAGATGAAACGGCGGCCATGACGTCGTGCGAACGGCACAACATGGACTGCCAAGATGTTGTCCCGGTAGTACTGGCCTGTAACACGCCCTGCAACAACACGTAAAGCCGTTCTTCCAGCAACAGTGATGCCTCCCCACACCATAACAGAACCACCCCCAAATCGATCATGTCTGATGACGTTAACGTCTTGGAAGCGCTCGTTTCGACGACGCCACACCCTCCTACGTCTGTCCAAAAAATCAACAGTGAACCTTGTCTCATCTGAAAACATCACATTGCTCCAGCGTCGATTATCCCAGTGTTGACGATCCCTACACCAACGACGTCTTGCCTGAATGTGATGATCTCTCAAACAAGGGATCACGCGAGGACGTCGGGCGCGAAGGTGACCCCTATGCTGTCGATTCCGAATCGTCTGGCCACTCACTCTCACACCAGTGTCTGTTTGAAGACGAGCGCTGATCTGATTTGCTGTGATGGCACGATTTCTCAAGGCCAAGGTACGGATAAATCGATCCTGGGCTTGAGTTGTCGCCCTTGGTCGACCTGAGCGTGGTCTGTCCTGTACAGATTGTGTATCACGGTATCTGGACCATAGCCTGCTTATGACAGACTGAGAAACATTCATCGTCCGCGCCACAACCGCCTGTGTTGTGCCGATCTGTAGCATGCCAAGGGCACGTAACCTTTCATTTTGGGTAAGCCGACGCATATCAAAATTTATTTTCTGGTCACTAAAACAATTAAACTGATGTTTCCACCCTGGAATTCAATGCCACAATGACTGTAACATTCAAAGTCAGAGTCGTGCAAATCTTGGGTTGGACCCCCATGATGATCCCAAGCATCACCTGCATTCAATGCGGTAGCTATTGGTGCGTTTGGGCGTCACATGTAACTGGAAATGTTTCTTCTGTTAGGTTCTATAGTGACTTTTTTCGTAGTCATTTGCATATTTTAGTATTATGCCCGCAAAATCAAATATCCCCTACTTTTTTTGAATAGTATATATAAATTAGTAAAGATATGACTATGTACTCATCAAGAGTCCTCGCTTAATCAAGTTTGACCACCAATCAACGATTTTGTCAAGATCAATCGTGTCCGACAGGTCACACTCAGACGCAAGAGTCATTAGTTCATTGCGGCATTCCTGTTTCATTACTGATCGCATAACAGTGTCCAATCAAATATTTATACACATATTAAGTATTTGGGATCTTTCCCTTCTATTTTGGCATTGTTTGTTTACTTCATTAATTCATTTAGTCGCCGATGCAAAATTTTAAGACCGATTGCGCATATTTTGAGACCGACTGTCCCCCCCCCACCCGCCACACACACATTTACGCCCCTGTGCCCGTCTTCATTTGCCCAGTCGGAGCAGAACAGCAGGACGTTAAACCCCATTCATTTCACTTTGTTTTGTTATCATCTCTGCAATGGCTTGGCAGAATTGTCTCAAATTTTGCATACAATAAAATCTGAACATGTCTCATCTAACGGTATAATGAAATTAAAAATTATTGGTGTGTCACAACATAATAATACTGAAAATGCAAAGAGTTAAAAAAAACTTACAATTTTTTTGTTTTTATATCTGTCGCAGGGGAAACTTGAAAAGCCAATAGATGTATAACACCTTCTGCTTTTAAATCCTTTAAAAAAAAAAAAAATGTACAAACATCTTGGTCAGTTCTTTCTAAATATCCAAGATGAAATAACTATACTAAACAGCAAAAAAAAAAACGTCAGTACGAGTTCAAAATCAGAGTTGTCCTTTAATCAAATCATTCTAGAAAACTACTTACTAAATGGATCAAAACAATTTTTTTGTGAACAGTATGTTGACACATTAGTGATTAATTCATCACAATTCCAAGACATTACGAGAAGGTTTAGAGTCTGTACACAGTCTACACATCAGTATCTGGTGTGTCCAGCGCGAGTGTCAATAACAGTAGTGCAGCGTCTGTACAAGGAGTGGACCAGATGATTGATGAATGCCATTGGCACCTGGAACCACACCCTTACAAAAGCCTGGCGCAATCCATTCCAAAGATGTTCAATCAGGTTTACTTGTGGACTAAGGTCTGGCCAGTGCATAACGTTGACACCGTTCAGCTGTAGAAAGTCCCAAGTAACTCTGGCAGTGTGGACACGGGTGTTGTCATGCTGGAAAACGTTGTTTCGATGACATGCGACATGTGGTATGACGTGGGGTCTGAGAGCTTGATCGATGTAGCGCACTGCTGTGATGCCGCCTCCTCTCCCTGGACCAAGATTTTGGAACACCACAGGACAAACTCCCCAGTTCAGGCTGATTCCACCCCAAACCATTATGCTTGGACCTCCCCATGAGTCTCATTCCATGACACATTGGTCAGAATAACACTGGCCACATCAACGCCATATTCTGGTCCTGCCATCTGCAGTTGATACGCAATACCGACTCTCATCTGTGAAGAGAACAGTTCTCCATTGCCTGTGTCGCAAGTTCTGGCGTTGTTGGGCAAACTTTAGACGTTCACGTCGATGGCGAAGGGTGAGGATCAATCCACGGTAAGGTCTACAGCAATGGATGTTCTCTCTGGTGAGACGTCGGCGCATTGTATCAGTACTGATGAGTCTTCCGTGCGTTCCCACTGTCTGGCGTGCTGTCTCAGATGCCTGTGTGAAGGGATTCTACACGTTCTGTCCCACAACATGGCGGTCTTGTCGCCTTGTGGTACCCTTGGTCTACCAGTTCAGGGCGAACATCCGTGGTGTTGGTGGCCCGAAAGCGTTGTTGAAGTCTGTAGATGGTCCAAACATTGACCTGGAAGTGATTGGCAACGACTTGGGCAGTGTGGCCAGCGTCGTGTCTTCCAAGTGCCTGGGTGTGAATGATTCAACCAGGTATGGGGGTGCATTTTATAGGGCTGGTCCCAGTGAACAGCACATGCAGCGTGAGTTACATGAAAATCATGGAGAACACATTACCATCTCATAAGTGAGGTTGCGTTTTTGAAAACATTTCCTGGGTTCAATTCTGTGTTTGGGAAGGAGTCTTATTGCTCAGGTAAAGTTGGAGATGTGGTCACAAATATACAATAAAAACAGTTGGCAAGTTTTATGCAATGCGTCTATTCAGAGTAACATACCAACCTGACATTTCTTTTGCTGCTTAGTATATTACACAAGATTTCTACCCAAATGCTTAGTTTCCATGTAATTAATATGTACCTTTTTCAGATAGTGAAATTTAGACATTCACAAACATAAAACATAAAAAAACATCTTACATTTTTTTCTTTAAAATAATATAAATTGTTGGTTTTAGAAACACACCATCTCTTCACCCAATTTTTTGTTAATGGTCCTCTGTCTTTAGTTTTTCTTTTATAAAGCCAACCTTCGCAATCACCTTTGCCTAAATCTTTACATGATATTCTTCTATCAGCTAGAAATAGAAAACACGGATATTATTCTGGCAGATAGAAATAAGGTGAAGGATGTTGGTTTTAGAAACACACCATCTCTTCACCCAATTTTTTGTTAATGGTCCTCTGTCTTTAGTTTTTCTTTTATAAAGCCAACCTTCGCAATCACCTTTGCCTAAATCTTTACATGATATTCTTCTATCAGCTAGAAATAGAAAACACGGATATTATTCTGGCAGATAGAAATAAGGTGAAGGATGTAACAATAAACAAATGTGACCGCGTATATCAAACTGAACCGGAATACGCAAAATCTAATTTTGGACTAGAGACAAAATAAGTGAAAATATTGATTTTGATCGAAATTGAGATTTTCACAAAAATGAGTCTATAAATATACTATCTATCGACACAAAAGGTCAAAATAGCAATAAAAGATTTTAGAACACCTTTATTTGAACGTTTTGTAAGAGTACCGTATTCTTAAATCTGTCCTATTTGTTAAAATTCTTGGCGAAATTAGTTATTTTTCTTCGCTAGCTGCGGGACAACGGGTCATGCCTCTTGCATAATAATTGGCATAATTGTAAAGCGGAGAATCTCTAGTTTACAAATATGATCGAATTAATGTCGATGAATTGATTTTGAGCGGATACAATCGAGTTTTAAAACCCCTAAAAAATATAAACCACCTCCGCTTGTTGCTGTGCTGTTGACACAACTCGTTTGCTGATTGGCCCAGACACCAATTGTAAAGCATTATGGTTACGTGGCTGACTCGAGCGGGCGATAAATATTTGGTTTTGGCAATAATGTTTTTGGTTACCTACATGCGATCCACTCTCAAAAGTGGCAGAAAAAAATTAATTCTGATCGTATATAGATTGCCGTTGAGTGTTAATCCAAACCATGTGGCTGATTATGTAAATTAATCGACATGTGAGTGGGTGTCATTGAGTAATACTAATCAACTGTCACAGGTCAATGATAAAGCCATCGACAACTCCTTATTTACTCCGAATAATTAATCCAAGCAGTGATTATCTGATATCTCATATCATCTTTAAAAAAATAATTTATAGGCCTTAAATGGAGAAAAAAAAAATGGCCAATAATTTTCTTTTCGAAGAGAATTGATTGATAGATGAATTCACTTTACTGTCGCTTCTTCATACGGCATGAAAAGTAAGGAATGCATCTTGGATATTATTTTAATTACATCAAAGCCAGAATGCAAGAAAGTGAATGTAAGTATTTCTTGACTATGAAATTGACATTTCTATAGGGACTCATATTTTGATACCGTTACGGTACCTGAAAATAATAATAGACCTATCATACACGCAAAATCTTATTTTAATTCACGTGTTAAATGAACACGTGTACGGCTGTGGCGGCTTCTTTGATGATTATCCAATCAACAATCTTAATCTCCTGACCACTAGCTGGCACTAATTAATTGATGAGATTAACTGTTAATCTCACCAACGTTATAATATACAAAACAGACTAATAATATATAGATTATTCTTTAGTATAATTAACACTATCATGTGAATATGCCGCATGTGTTATGGATGTTTCAACACGAAAGGAGTACATTTACTACGATTTTTGTCGTCAGCACCCTTGAAATCCTAAATAAAAAAAAAAATTAAACGACAAAATAGCAAATAAATAGTGGAAATCGTCGGATCAAATTTTTACTACGATTTTCGTCTTCAGCACCCCTGAAAACCCATGGAAAGATATATTCAACGACAAAACATCAAATAAACGGCCTGGTTGCTTTGGGATTTTGTTTTGGAACATGTTTTGGAACATACAAAATCTTTGACTTGCTTTTTCTCAAAACTTACTTTTGTGAGTTGGGTAGCTTCGAATGGACAGAGCTCAGTCAATTTTTGCCCGATTCAAACAAACTATACATCAAATTGAAGGTAATGAGTAGGAGAAACTTACTTAAATTTGTGAGTTAGGTAGCTTCGAATGGACAGAGCTCAGTCAATTTTTGCCCGTTTCAAACAAACTATACATCAAATTGAAGGTAATGAGTTGGAGAATGTGAAAATAACAATAACTCAATTTTTAAAATTTCCTCACTACGACCCAGTATGCCATGGGGGGGGGGGGGGGGGTGTCACAAATTTCTCATAATATACTGTCTATGGTTAATTGGAATATGATAATATAATATATAGTACATAAAATTAAAGATGATTAATTTCTAGGCAAAAGTGATGTTGCATCTAAAAATATACGTGTACATTTTTCTAAACAAGGAATTGAATATGTTGTTCTGGTGAGTATATAGAGAATCTCCTACCAGTCTTTTTTGATATCAAAAAATATCAACACAAGTTGATAAAGTAACAAAAAACGTGGCTCAAAAAAGACGAGTAGGCGATTTTATTTATCACCCAATCCCTTACATGCACAAATAGATAAATATAATTCTTTGCTGTAGATTTCACTTTTGCTGAACATTACAGTGTAGTGAAACATCATTTTTTGACAGTAATTCAACCATTGCAAAGTCCTTTATATTGACCCAGTGTTTCCATCAAGGTCAATTGAATAACAATAGTTCATTTTTAATAAAAAAAAAGAGTTACTTTTAATAAGAAATGAATTGTTTTTTAAAAATAAAAAAAAGTAGTTCCTTTTCAACTGACCAATCAAATTCATGTAAAACGATATTATAAGGAGATATCGCAGTAGATTATGAAATATATCACCCAAGCGATATCTACTGTAGAATGTATTATTGGGTGATAAATCAATTTATATTCCTCAGAATTCTCCTCGTTGTACTAGTAGATAAAATAAGATTTAAAAAAACATTCACAGAATTTTGTTATATGCTTATAATATGTCCTTTTTGTTTGCTATCAAAACAGGACACTCAAAAATCCCAAGTTGTACTTATTGATAGATCGATGATTCAGTGCATTAAGCCATTATTTTGGTGTAAAGGGTTTTACTCAGAGGTTAAAACAAGTTATTCTTTTGAGCATTCTCATACTTTTCACCACTTGTGTATATTTGCTATTTATTGTCTTTCATTTAAGTAAGACTTATGCGTTTATTTTGTATGTATAAAAATAATTAAATATGTATGTTTCTGTGTCTATTTTAGTTATTTATTAACTGATTAGATATAGATTACCAAGTCTTTTTCCTGGTGCTTTGTTCCGTAATCTTACAGTGGGTGACTGAAATAGATAAATTAGAACAATAAACATTGATCTGAATTGATATCAAAATCATTAAACAGTAATCTATATTATGCTACTGATATTTCTAATGATGTATAATTAATGAATGGTGTTTTTCTTTCATTAAATAAAGACACAGCCATTTAACTGAAGGTAGTAAGAATATGCATACCTCTGTACAAGTATAATTCTGAGTCTGATCTGAAGGTATTTTCTGAACAACTCCACCAATTATTAAATGTGTGTAACTGAAAAAAGAATTAAAGCTTGTCTTGTCATTATGTTTACAAAGTGCCTACACATAGAATTAGGTCTACCATATTTTTCAGGGTAAATCCTTCAATTGTTACATCTATAATTAGATCCAATCTGATTAAAATACAGATCTATATTTCATTTCGTTTTTTTTATACTTTCGATGGCCTAAGCTACATGAAGATCTGACTAATGGTACTTTGAGGTCGTGTCAGGGGTCATTCGACCCTATGATGCCAGACATTGATTCATCAATCAGCGTTGCATTTCTAAGGGTTTATCCACACTTCGGGGCAGAGAAAGGCAAGACCGTTTCATTGGCTAGTTCCTCACATCAACTCACATTAACAACTCTTTCAGATCCTAGTGTTGTGAAGACATTTAAAACAATATTTTGAACTATAAAAAATTAAACAAAATAGGATCTGTGTTTTAATCAGATTGAATTAGTTACAAATCATGAATTAATTTATATGCTTTGAATTCATTTCCAAGACAACTTGCACAGAATTGACCAATTCTCATCCATAACCTCATTGAGATTCTTCAAATCAATTCTACTGTGTGAAATAAAGCAGCACGGGAAGCCAGTCCAAACTGTTGAACTTTTTGGGGATTATTTGTATTAAATGTATTATTACCTAATGGGTCCTTGTATTTCTTTTTCTTCATCTTTTGTATCAGATGAAAATTCAACTCTCTTAGTTTGTGGGTCTTTCTTTACTTCATCACTGTTCTTCTTAAAACAAAACATTTCACATAAATGAAATATAAGTTCACATTTGTCGCAAAAACAAAACATAAATTGTTTATAGATGTCACATACATAGTTTGCAGTTGTCATGTAACAAAACATAGTTTGCAGTTGTCATGTAACAAAACATAATCATATAGTTAACAGTAAACAAAATATAATAAAGGTAATAGTTTCCATGTAAGAAAAATTGATCATAATTGTCCACACTATATAGTTATAGAAAAACAGTATGGTTATATTATCTTATCATATAGATAATTTTTTTTTATCCAAACACCCCCAGAACTTTGTAACCAACACAGAGGTTATATTTTTAATATCATTCGACCTGTATTTTAACCTACCACATCACTTGGTATTGAAGGGTCTATCTTTTTCACTTTTAAGAGTTGTGGCTGGTCTTTTGGAAGAATAGCATCTGCTAATTCGCAATCTAGCACACTTTGTTTTGAGAGACGTTGAATTTGATCTGTGTCCGGTAGATCAATTACTATTGGTGTAGGCTTTGTCACGCGGAATCCATGTCGCTTATCTTTCTCTCCTAGTATTTGAATATTTTCAGAATTCATCATAGAACTTGGACTAGTTGGTGTCTTGTCTGAATTTAATGAAGGTAAATGCAAGTTAGAAATTCTGTGTATAATTTAAGAGTACCAGTAAATATATAAATAAACTTAGAGGGAATATTTTGATTACTTCAACACCTGAATGTAATCAAATCGGTCAATATTTAATTTCCAAATTGTGAGTCATTAAATAATTCCAATACTTAGTCAGTGTGATAAAAAGTTGCAAAATAAATCAATCACATGTTAGCTTAATCTTAATATTCAAGTCACTTAGTATACATTCCTTCTTGGCCAATATTGCCAACTTTGCTGACAAGTATCTTAGAGGTTTCCACATTTAGAAATCACTTATATATACGTTGCCAAAATCAAATTAAATATAAACTATTTTAAAGATGCTATTTAAACAAATGTATTTTTCAACCAGCGGCTGCCAGGCAGGATACGCCCACATTTTGCAAGAGATGGATAGCGAATTAGCTAACGAGAGCATCGCTAATGCTGCAATATATGTCCACATTCCTGCTTTGATTGATATGGTACTTTTTTAAATGAAGAGAATGAAATATGAAATGGCTGTAATATGACAAGAGGCAAAGAAGGCTAGGCGTTGGGTTAGTTTTGCCAAATTTTCAGACAAAATATTAACAAAAGATAGGTTGCCAGGTAACGAAACATATGCCCACAGCGGCTAAATCGTCCAAGCGGTCGACAAGGGTTGTCACATATTTATTCCTTTGTAGGTAATTTACAAGACAGTTCCATACAGAATACAGATCAGATAATTTTTGCCGTTTGAGGGTTCACAAGGTTCTACAAATTGAAACAAGGGTCTCAACTCTGGAAGTAATGTACAGAAATTGTTGAAATTTGACAGGCTTTTTCGTTTCACAAATTTAAATGATGTATATAAATTTCATACATATCCGATGATAACTTTCATCAATCCAGTAGACGTGGTACAAGGGTTAATCAGCGAACTGGATGTATGAGATGTGTTGTTGACGTTTGGGAAAGTAGGACGAGGGGAAATGTGTAGGGAGTGCTGTAAAGGGATAGTTAGATGTATTATGAATGGTTAGAGTGGCTGTGGTGTTACGGTGAAATACTATGCCGCCACCGTAACACCACAGCTTTATGATTTGTTAGACAGGAGTGATGTAATGGGTGTCAACAACTGGGTATGCTGGTACCGTTGCAACGTAGCCGTGAAATATATATTGTGGGGGGGGGGGGGGGAAGGGCGGAAACGGAAAAATATACAATGTTGACAGTATGTGCCAGGCATGAGGCTGCGCAGACCGAGCGGCAGCTCGATAGGGAGTGTGTGGGAGGGTCACCCTCATAAAAAATTTTTTTTTTAAATTTCAGTTTTCTGTAAGCAGTGAAAACACTATTTTGGCATTGTTTGCGGGGTTAAACCTAAAAATCACATTAATACACCTATTGCACGATATTGTGAAACTAGCTGACGAAGACAGCTCGGGCGGCGATTGTTCGACTCGGGGCTGCTCTGTCAGTATCTAACAAACGCATTTAGTTCGCGTACAACTTTTAAAAACCGAATGTCAGTATGGTATTTCTCACATAATTGGTTATCGCAAAAACAGAGTAAACTGAAAGCCAGTAATCTCGACTCAAACCTATAGTCTATAGCCCACTTGCTACACTGTCACTAGGCTTCCTATATTATTGTTTGTGGACGGTTTACTACTCAGTGATAAGCCTGCGCCGCAAAAAGAGGTCTCGCCTTTTATTATTAGTATAATGACTTCCTCATGTGCGGCAGGTTAGTTTGCTTCTAAAAACACTGTTTTCCGTTCCAAAAAATACAAAAGTAATTTTCTACCAGATGACCATGGTTCTTTTCACCGAGACTACATAATTTCTCTCGGTGTAAGGATATAGCCATGGATAAGTTCATACAAGGTCAATAAATCTGCGGTCACTTCGGGTCACACTGTTGAGAAAATAAACCGATGGGTTTGTTTAGTAGCAAATCGAGCGTGAATCAACTGAGTTTGTACTGAAAAATTTTTGAGTGATATGTATGAACTGTCTTCACACATTCGGTTTATAATTAGCGATACACAGGTAGAGTGGCAAATGTTGTACTTCACAGACTGTTTACCTCCGAACTACCTCTGCACGAAATCCCCGATTTGGGTACTTGTTAAAAGAAAAAGAAATAGTACCTGTGCGCGTGCCAGTAAAAAAAAAACTAAGAGTTCGCGCATAAAAATGCCCGAACGTACCAGGCGCCAGGTCATCTAGCATTAACAAGGTTGAACAAAGTGCAACAAGGCAATAACTCTAGATATAGGATTCTTCTCTTTACTAAATTTAATTACGCATGTAAATTTCATACAGATCGGCAGATAACTTTTGATGTTAGAGCATTCACAAAGTTCAATAAAGTGAAACAAGGGTCATAACTCTAGACGTAATAAACAGAAATTGCTGAAATTCAATAAGCTTCTTCGTTTCACTAATTTAAATAATGCATATAAATATCAGAAAGATAGGATGATAACTTTTGGGGTTAGAGCGTTCACAACAACTCTAGATGTAATTAACAGAAATTGCTGAAATTCAATAGGCTTCTTCGTTTCACTAATTTAAATAATGCATATAAATTTCAGAAAGATAGGATAACTCACAGCATAATAAACAGAAATTGCTGAAATTCAATAGGCTTCTTCGTTTCACTAACTTAAATGATGCATATCAATTTCAAACAGATCGGATGATAACTGTTGTCATTAGAGCGTTCACAAGGTTAAACAAAGTGAAACAAGGGCCATAACTCTAGAAGTAATAAACAGAAATTGCTGAAATTCAATAGGCTTCTTCGTTTCCCTAATTTAAATATTGCATATAAATTTCACTAATGTAAACAACATATATCAATTTTAAAACAATTGGATGATAACTTTTGGCGTTAGAGCGTTCACAAGAAATTGTGGATGATGGACGGACAGATGGACGGAGGCGACGGCAATATACGTCCACATTTCTATGTTGGCGTATAAAAAGTGGGTGTGACACTGCCCCAGGGGGTCGGGGCATGCACCAAAATAAATAGTTGCTGTCTTTACGGTATAAGGAATAAATATGGGGGCGCATTGGGGTTGGGTGAAGCTGGGGGTTGTGCATCTACATCAATAGTTGCCTTCCTTAAAGTATAAGGAATAAGTATACCAAGATAATCCATTCAGAATTGTGACTTTCAGGCGCTAATGGCAAAAAGTGGGCGTGGCTCTGCCCCTAGGGGTCGGGCATTCACCAAAATCAATACATATGCCAAGTACCAAGCTGATTCATTCAGAATTGGGGCCTGTAAATGACAAATACAAAAAATTGGGCGTGGCTCTGCCCCTGGGGGGCGGGACATGCAGTTGTCGTCCTTAGGCTATAAGGAATACATATCACAAGTTCAAAGACGATCCATACAGAATCGTGGCCTGTAGCCAACACACACAGACACAAAGAAACAAGAGCATTGTTAATGCTGCAATATACGTCCACATTCCAGCATTGATTGATATGGTATTTTTTAAAATGAAGAGAATGAAATATGAAATGGCTGTAAAAGGATAAAAGGTAATGACGGCTTGTTTTGCCAAATTTACAGACAAAATACTAACAAAAAAGTGGGTGTGACACTGCCCCAGGTGGTCGGGGCAAGCACCAAAATAAATAGTTGCTGTCTTTACGGTATAAGGAATAAATATGCAAAGTTCCAAGATGATATGCAAAGTTCCAAGATGATGTGAAAAGTCCCGAAATGACCTACTTTGTGTCAAGTGGACTTAAACCCCATTTCTCTCTCTCTTTCTCTCTCTCTCAAAGACGATCCATTAGGAATCGTGGCCTGTAGGCAACTCACAGAGACACAAAGAACAAATGGGTGTGGCTCTGCCCCTGGGGGTTGGGCAATCACCAAAAAACAATAGGGGGCATTCTTAGGGTACAAAGAATAAGTATGCAAAGTTTCAAGACGATAGGTTAAGAAATGCGCCCTGTAGACAACAAACAAACAAATACAAAAAATGGGCATGGCTCTGCCCCTGGGCGTCGGGCATGCACCAAAAACAATAGGGATCATCCTTAGGGTATATGGAATAAGTATGTAAAGTTTCAAGATGATCACAGACACACAAAAAGAAAATGGGCGTGGCTCTGCCCCTGGGGGTTGGGCATGCACCCCAAACGATAGGAATGTTCCTTACGGTACAAAGAATAAGTATACAAAGTTTCAAGATGATACGTTAAGAAATGCGACCTGTAGACGACAAACAAATACATACAAGAAATGGACGTTACTCTGCCCCTGGCGGTCGGGAATGCACCAAAAACAAAAGGGATCATCCACAGGGTATAAGGAATTCAGACGAATTTTTTTCAAGATGATCGATTAAGAATTGTGGCCTATAGGCGGCACACAGACACACAATAAGAAAATGGGCATGGGTCTGCCCCTAGGGGTCATCCTTAGGGAATAAGGAATCGGTATGCAAGTTTTCAGAATGAACTTTTAACCAGCGGCTGCCAGGCAGGATACGCCCACATTTTCGAGAGATGGATAGAGAACAAGTGATTTTTCCTACAATCAAGGGCCATAATTCAGGAAATTACAATTCGATATGCGCAAATATCGACAGGAACCGAGATCTTTGTTTTATAAACTTACATTTCAAGTTTCAACAAAATTGGATAAAAATTGTGACCTCCATTCGATCCACAACCTTGATATACCATATTTTTACGCTATTTGAGAACGAAGGGCGGCCATTTTGTCTGTCAGTTTTGGGCCGATTTTCACGAGATTCGAACTTAGTCGTCCTTATGGTGTAATGGTGACATAATAATACGTGTTTTTTAAATCGGATAAAAATTATGACCTCTATAGGGTCCACAAGCAAAAATCGCGATTTTTCGTACAATCAGGGGCCATAATTCAGGAAGTTACGGTCCAATATGCGCGAATATCGAAAGGAACCGAGATCTTTGGGTTATAAACTTACAT